AAGAATGAAGGTTTTCAAGTTTATTGTCTGATACAGTATGGAAAAATATCTTGCTGCCATGCAGCCACAGCTTGCTACAGCTCACTAGGTCAGGTCCTAGAACCAGAGCTCAGTGCACCCTGGTTTAGAGGCAGCTCGCTTGCGGAACAAGGCAGATTTTGGTGGCTACAGAGGGAGGACAGGCCTCTAAATGAGCCCCTCCATCCAACACTGCCAACAGCAGCACAAGAAACAACCAGGTGGTCTGAGACTGGCAGGTTTTTCAGGTGGAAATGACTTCTTGCTCCAGCAGAAAAAAACATGAGAAGATTCCTGCCAGCATCAGTGCTGTGCTGAAATCCTTGAAGGTCTCTCCAGGCTTTTGCTGCCTGCCGCAGGCCTTTCCAGCAGAAACCTGGGCCCTGAGGTGTCTGCCATCTTACAAATGGAGTGCTTGGAAAAGTAACACACGCTGAACAAATACACAAGCAAATAAACCATTCTTTGTTTTATGAACTGTTGGGAGATTGTGTACTGAGGAGCATGCACATTTCCAGCTCCAAGCAGATAGAAGTGAAAGCAGGAACAAATTTGGCCTTCTAATTCCTTACCCCTACAACAAAAACTAATGTTATGTTTTTCTTGTTCTGTCTCAAAACCTACATTCAATCCCACCTGGTCACTACAGGAACGCGACGCTGCCAGCTCATCTGCAGCCCTTGGTCCCACAGGCAATGTTCCTGCAAAGCTCCAGCACTTCTACATCTGAAACTCGCTTCGTCTCATGGATACAATAGCTAATTTTGGACTTACCCTGCTCCTGCTGGGCCAGAGTCATCACTGGCATAGCTCCACTGAAATTCAGCCTACTGATGCATTACAGACAATGCACAACATGAGCTAATCCTTAACGATGTTTTTTCCCCTTTTGTCCCCCCCACGTACTTATTTGCCTAAATAGTAAAATAACTTACGCAGTATTATTTAAGAAATAAATACTAAAACCACCCCAGAACAGTCTTGCAAACGTTAATTTCAAGTCAGGCGATGATCAGACTCAAGGATACGTTGTGACAAACAGGGCAGCCCAGAGAAGACCCAGCACAAAGTCACAAGGCCTTGTTGTAGTTGCAATCCTGCCACCAATTTCCAGACAAGCAGTTTCTCCTTTCCAATCCACTCCCCAGGACATAGATATCAGCCTCTCAGTAAGCTGCTGCAGAGGGCCCAGCACAAACTAACCCAACCACCACCACTTGCATCTTTGTAATGTGCACCTTAAACAATAACAGCCCTACACGTGACATTGTGTTTAAAAACTAGCACCAAGACAAAAGGAGCTAATTGCAAGTGTTACAGGTGGATGTGAAATGTTTTAATGTTTGCATCGATTTCCTTCAGCAGAGCAAGGTCTACAAGAAACAGACAATCACTTCTGCACAGAAGGCTACCCAGGACAATCTCTGGAGGTGATAATATTTATGACTCGTGACATCTGCTTGTCTTGTTACTCATTTTCAAGCTTTACAGTTGTATCTTTCTAAACTAAAACATCCTATTCCACCTCCCTCTTTGCTTCCTTTCAATCATGAAATACCAAGACCTCCCTCCCTTTTGCTACAAGACCTTGTTACTGGTAAGAGCAGCACCAGGAGGCTCCAGGCTTTGCTCCCAAACAGGTCAGCATCAGCAAGATCCAACGCCCAGGGTCACATCAGCAGGGCTGCCCAAGTCATTTTCTCCTTTTGAAAAGGTATTTAAGGGAAGTGGTTTAACTAGGGCACTATCGCTGAGGAAAGCACACTGCTTACCAAGAATTTCAAACTACAGGTTTTAAGGCATTTGTATCAGGTGGTAGCTCTCCGTGTTTTGATCCCTGCTTCCACTAGGAGAAGAGGCCAGAGCAACTCTAACAAAGGCAGGGGGGGTCCGTTTGTGTTAGTGGACAAAATCTTAGCCACAGCCATCCAGCACCACAAAGACCAGGAGACTTTATTTTTTTTTTCGGTTGGATATAAATAAATAAAGAACCAGAGTTGCTGGAAGAACATTTTCGGAGTTCCAAACATCCCCATTTCCAAGCTACTTGCTTACTTTTTCATGCAACAGATGCTGCTTTGTATTAGCTACTGCATATTAAATCATTCTGACAACCAAGAAAGCATACATTTGTTTGCGCGAGAGAGAAGCATGAATACACACACACACGGCTATCTTCTCAGGCAGAAGCATACAATTATGCAGCATTCAAATATTTGCGATGAACTTTGGCCTTTGTTGAAAACAACACACACACACACAAAAAAAGTGCCCCCCAAACAACCACCAGCAACAGCCTCGGCAGTCATCTGGCCGGGCTCGCAGAAAGCAACAGATCTGCAGCAAGAAAACGCTGCTCGTGGCCAGCGATTTGAAAGTTTCTCGGGAAATCCTGCTTCGATGGGAGCCTCACACACACAGCCTTTATGATTTATAATGGTCTCACGGACCGATCTCGGAATCCAGGCTAAAAATAAAGTTCGTGCTAGTACAGAAACAGCATTAAAGGGGTCGGTTATGCTCAGTGTTCACCCCCACATGGCTTTTGGACTCCAGACAATCCCCTCAGCTCTGCCCTTTGCGTTCCCAACTGGAAGTGCCCTGGGAGCACCCGCACAGCCCCGAGGCGCCCTTGGGAGCGGTGTCTGTGCCCAGCCAGCGTGGAAGCAGGCGGGCAACCCAAACAAACCCCTATCCCTGATACATTTATCAAAACCAAACCTCGCTGTAACAGCACCAGAGAACACGCCGAAACTCCCTGACAAGGAGAGCACCCCCGAGAAGCGGAGCTGTTGCCCACAGCGCTTCCAACTTTTTTTTTTTTGTGTGTGTGGAATCTCGGCCGGAGACATATTTCCCCCTCCACATTCCCCTCTCACTTTCTTCCCCTCTCGTTACTAGACAGCCATCCAGTTCTGCAGCCTGTTTTTTTTTCTTTTTTTCCCTTTTTTCACTATCTATAGAGCCCGTGGGGAAGAAGCGGCCCCAAGGCGGCGCCGGGGGGGGGGGGGCTGCAGGGCCCCGGGACCCCCTCTCAGGCCTTGGGGGGATATCCCCTGAGACCCCGGGTGCCCATCTCCGTGCTCTGCCCCCCTCATTTTTTTACCTGGGGATGGTGATGCACTTGGTGTTGATGTTCTGCGTGGTGATCGCCTTCTCCAGCTCGTCCAGCTGCCCCGTCTTCTTCAGCTTCTTCACCAGGCTCTTCACCGCCTTCTCGCACCATTTCTCCTCCTGCCCGTTCTGCTCCCCTTTCTTCCAGCCCAGGAGCCGCTTGACGATGGGAGGGGTGAACGGCAGGATGGAGGACATGCTGGCTCGCCCGGCAGCGCCCCGCCGCCCCCCTGCTCCGCTCCTCTCCTCTCCACGCCGAGCAGGCCCCGCTGGGCCGCCGGCAGCACAAAGCCCGGCCCCGGGAGCCCGGCTCGGTTCGTCCCGGCCCCTCTCCTCCCTGCCCGGAGCTGCTTTCAACACCCGGGGCCCGCGGCACCAAACTTTGCCCGGACTTCGCCGCCTCTCCCCGGCGGCGGCGGCGGCGGCGGCAGCTCCCTCCTCCCCCCCCTCCTCCTCCTTCTCGTCCTCCTCCTGCCCCGCTCTGTGTGCGCGGAGAGGCGCCCACTCCAGCTCATTCCCAGTCTGTCTCTCATGCAAATTGCCTGCTGGCCGCCCCGGCCCGGCTTCCACCCCCTCCTTCCCTCCCAAACACGCTCACTCACGCCGCCGAGGGAGGGCGGGGAGGCGGCCGGCCCGCCGGGAACTCCGCTCCCCCCCCCCTTCCATCGCCACAGGGCTCCCTCCCCTGGCCTTCAGCCCCCTCAGCTTCCACCATTCCTTCAGGAGCTGCCTCACCCTACACCAGGAGACCCCCACGGGCTCCACCCGGCCGCCCCCTCTGCTCTTGGCCTCTCTGTAATGTTGAGACCCTCCCTGAGGCAGCCCCGCGGTGTGGGATCGCCCTCAGGGCTGTGGGGTGGCAGGGGGGGGGTCAGCCCGGCCATAAACCCTTGGAGAGATCCCACCGAGGGGAAGGCAGTGAAAATAAACACAAAAAAAACCGAGTTCCCCCTCAGCAAGGAGACCCTCAGGCAGGGCACGATGGATGCGGCCCCTGAGGTGGCTGTTTTCTTTGTGGAAAAAAAAAAGAAAAAAAAGTGTTTCCACACAGATAGCTGAGCACAACTCGGCCAGTCAGGCTTGGACAATCAGCAGTTTCTGTTTCAACCCCTTTAATTTACTGTTCCATTCCCTCATCCTCCCACCCTGGACTCCAGGTACCCGAATAATTTTTGCCCTGTATCAGGCACAAATGACATCCTGGAGATGTTTACCACCAGACCTGGTCAGAAATTCTCAGACGGAACATTTTTGTCAGAGAATGGCAGTTTGTTCAGATCTAGGTGTTTTGTAGAGATGCTTCGGTTTTGACTAACTCCGGATGACATCCAGGTAAATTTCCAGTTCCTCACTTTCCATAACTGGGCAGACTGGGCTGTCACACTCCCCAGTCTCCGGCATCACCCCCTCATGCTGAAAGGGAGCCTGTGTGAATATAAACCTTAGCTCTTCAGTGGTCCAATGCTGTGATAAATCACCCCAAAATGGTGCTGAGCAGCCTGGCAAGCAGCAAGTAGGCTGGAGGCACCTGGTGGCTCTGCAGGTGGCCCCCATCGAGGCTGGTTCATCTTTCTGTGCTCCAGCTGCCTCGCAGCTCCCCACAACAGCTGCCCAGGAACACAGGGGTGAAAGTTTCAGGGGGCCTGGCTCCCAAATTCTGAGGTTTCAGCCTGAGAGAGGCTTCCCAGCTTCCTCCATCCTACCAGACGGGATGATGGGGAGCTGAATTTGGGAAGCCTCCGGGGCTGCTCGGCAGCTCCCAGACGCACAGGTCCTTGCCAACCCACATTCTCATATTCCAGGTTCCAGTGCAACCCAGTGGGGAGACTCCTCGAAAGCCGGCATCCAAAAACTTCCCGTGCCTGCGGATTTGAAGCAGCCAACCGTATGGATTGCCTTGTGGCAAGTTAGAAACCTATGGGTTCAGACAGCGTCTGAGGCTCAAAGGCAACTGGCTCGGCTTTCACAGGGATTTAAAACAAACAGCTGTGTTTTGTTCCAAACTGACTACCAAATTTTGAAATATCAGTATTGGGTACAAATTAAATACTCTCTTCTCTATTTTTTTTTTCCAGAATTCTCATATTATTCCCCAACACACATTCCCTGAGTGTCTTGAATTTTGGAGGCTCACCACTAAAATTTTGGATCATTGCCCTGACCCAGTTTTTGGCTGCTTTGAGATGACTGAAGTACAGAGATGTGGAGCCCCTGTAGACGATCCCAACATCATTTGAGGAAGTAGTTCCTCAGTACTTCTAAAACAATGCAGAAAAAAAAAACATTTAACACCAGTTGCTCTAAAAGCAGGATGCACAGATTACTGACTGTTGCTAGTTTCATTGACTTGCTGTGCATTTATGTTTTTCAGAAAAGGCCTAGTTCCTGGTAGCTGGAGATGAACTATTCTGAGCTTTCATTTTAAAAAGAAAAAGTTCCCACAACTGTAGAAAATAACCTGAACACGTGAACCAAGTATTTAACATTTGTGTTCTACTTTTTTTTTTTAAAGAGGTATAAACTTCACCACATCTAAAATCATGATTATTTAAAGTCATCATTTTCTGCTTTCCTAGTTCCTAGACCAGCACATTTTGCAACTGAAAGAAGCCCAGAAGACAACTAAGCCCGAAGGCCCTGCCTCAAGCTTGTCAAGTCAATACTATGCCAGGAAAACCTTAATGCGCATTTCTGCTGGTGACCGTATCCATCACTTTCTAGCCACTCTGGCTAGAAAATCACGGCAACCATTCCATACTTTTTTCAGCCAGAAGGCTTGTAGTAATACTCAGATCTCGTCTCTACACTCAGAATTCATGCTGTGGCCTCAGTTCAGCATGGCTTCCAGAATTTTCTGTACATATTCATGGGCTAATCTTCAGTCCATTACAGTCATATCACAAGTGATCAGCTGGGTAAATTTGAATAAGGGGAAGGAGAGGAAGAGCTGAGTGGTTTGCTCACACTTGTACAGTGATTTAGTGGCAAAAGGGTGAATAGAATTAACTAAACGCTAAACCAAATTGGGTCTCACTTTGCTTACAGCATCACAAATGAAGCGTAGGCAGCTAAATCACTGATCTAAACTCCAGGCCACAGCAGCACTGTGAAGACTAGTAAAAACAAATAGACTTTTGGTTTCAAGGTGTAGAAGTAATTTTTGAGATTAGGGATGTTACATTTTATGGATTGACTTGTATGCCTGCTGGGGTTATCTGTCAGATTGAACGGTTCTATGAAAATAAGATTTCCTGGACCCCTAGACAGTCATCCTTTATTTCAGAGAGTTTTGGACACTATCATAGTGTAGAAGTTATCAGGCAGAAAAAAGCAGGATTGGCCCAATTTTGCATGGTCTGGATCTGCTCTCTGGTTTACAACATCTGACATCTTCGAAGCCACCTCTGGGCTGGATAAGTCTATCCATTCATTTTTGATATATATTTTACTTTCCTTTTCAAAAATTATCTTTGTGATGTAGCACAGGTTCAAGGACTTAACTTATTGCAGTTTGCTCTTACTGAAAAGTAAGGATATAATACTGTCTGCAATAACATGAGAAAACCCAGTCCTCCGTGTTACATCCACCTGACAAAAAGGAACATACCCTTAATGGCTATCTTACATTTCTTAGTCATTTACTAATGTACTAGCACCTTAACACTTACTAAAAATAATCCTCACATACCGTGCTCATTCATAGGATCAATCAATAACTAGAAGCAGGATTTAGCATTTACTTTCACAAAGGAAAATTGGGCTTTGATTCAGGAACAACATAAAATTAGCAGGAAAAACAAGGTGTCCTCTGAAGCTCACACACACGCATCTGCACTTTTATTAGAAATACATTAACAGCTTCTGAGACTGAAGAATCGCTTCTGTGCTTTGCTCTACATTCCCTTTATATCCTTCAAGCAGTGAGAAGGGAACGAGGGATATTTGGGCAGACACAAAGCCAGCTCCATCAGCGCCCTCCCCGACACCCTTGTGCAGGGGCCTGCTGGAACAAGCAGGCTGGAGGAAGCGTGGCCAGAGCCTGCTGTTCTCTGGCTACATGCAGCCAACAGACAGCTCTTTGGGGAGCCTGGTGCCTGCTGAAACAGCTCCCAGGCTGTCTTAACATGTAATTGTGGCTAGTTTGAAAATCAGGGAGTGGTTGAGAACCAGCTTTTACTGTACTGCCCCCATCTCTCTCTCTCACTCGCTCAGATATTAAGTATAATTTCCTACGTGGGCACTACCTATTTGTGGAAGGAAATTTTACAATGGCACTGACCAGGACAGCTGAGAAGCAGGTGGCCAAACCCATGAGGTTCACAGCAGATAAGGATTTCCTGGAGCTGCTTGGAGGGCCGTGACCTCCTCAGCTCCATTTGTTCCATGTTACGCAAGTTGCAGCGGCACTGAAGGGTGAGACAGGCAGCTGAGAAAATGAGGAGAGAGTTTTAAATTAGGTTATATTCATACATTGTAAATAGGTGCTATGACATTTAACTTTCAATCTATGTCACACATAATATGCATAAACAAGGGAAAGTGTGGGAGCTTTCCTTGGTTAAGGTAATATATATATGTAGAGCAGCATTTATATGCAAGCAAACCTATCTTCTTAATCACTCAGAACAAACCTACAGGAAAATAACTTTTGGGGTGAGTCACAAAAAAAAGCAAGGTCATTCAAAGTTAATGTCTTCAGAGTTAACTTCAACTCTGTGAGACACTGCTCAGACAAATCCTTTCAGGGTGCAGCAATTATTCTCTTCTACATATGAGAAAAAGTACACACATCCAACAAAAAGTTGCTTTGTTGAAAATTCATAATACTTAATGCACAAAAGTTAATTCGCTGCATGTTCCAAGAGGCTCTGTAGTGTAAAAGTCACACAACTACCTCTGACCAAAGGTCTAGTTAAGCCAGAATCCTGTCTGTGACCGTGACAGTACCTCTGGCCTAAGGAAAAAGGACAAGGTAGCAGCATGTCCAAGGCAAATTTTCTTCTAATATACTCTCCTAATTTTTGGCAATTATCTGTGTAGACACTTGTGACCTGGAGTTGATCTCCCCAGAGAGCCAGTCCTAGCCTCCAAGCCCTCTCTGCTTCTGCCTTACGTGACAACTGGCCTCTGCTGGGTCCTCACCCCACCCAGGACATCAAGCAGAGCTACTCTGAAGATTAACTGAAGAAATCCGGTTACATTGCCTCTGTGATCTCCACATTATTTGTTTTACAGACTGAAAGAGACCTTTGCCACCTGAACACGATCCTGGGCACCCTCTCCAGGTATCTCTGCTTGAAAAGTATTTTGGACCAGATGACCTCTGGAGGTCCCTTTCAACCTCAGCCATTTTGTGATGCTTGGTGACAGTGACAGTAGATTAGAGAAGAGAAAGGGCAGGCAACAACTCTCCTAGGAAACTGGAGTTTACCCCTCTCTGTCACAGCATTCCCATGTGATACGGGACAACTTCAAGCAAAACTGTGCGTGTTTTTTGTGAGTGCCTCCCCCTGTGGAGGCCTGGTTGCTCCCCTGGGGTAGGTCTGCAGCCGGGCACACAGCTGCACGGGAAGCTGCTGAGAGCTCTGCTCCAGTAAAGCGGGACGTCCTGGTGCTTGGGGTCCCTACAAACCTCCTTAAAGAACCACACATCTAGCACAGGTTTGAAAATGGCCAGGGTCCAAATCCTCTACGGTGTTTAGAGACCCAAGTCCCACTGAAATCAATCTGTAGGAGCCTACAGGCTGTTAAAAACCTTTATATCTCAGCTTGCTGTCTCTGGAGGTCTAGCCCCATTTGTCACCACAGTCTAATAACGTTGCTGGCTGAGTACCCCCTGATGTCTGTAGAGCACTCAGAGGCAACAGATTACTACCATATGCAAGCCAGCAGAGAGACGGACAATTGTTTCATCAGAAGATTGGAAAGTGTACCATAAATAAGATAAGAGGCCCAGACATTGAATAGGGAGGACAGGACAAAATACTAGCTCAGTACCCACTGAGGAAACAAGGAACACACTGTGCATGAGATGGGAGACCTTTGGAAAAAAAAAATGTGCCCATGAGAGTAAAAACAGTGTGCTAAGGAACATACACAGGGAGTACTGAGGCTCCATGGGCAACTTTAAACCTGTTTTCCCTTGGTCATTGGGGGCTTGACTTTGAAATCTTAAAATACCTAGGATGGTAACTCTCAGGAGCCAGACTCAATGATCCTTGGAGGTACCTTCCAAGTCGGGATATTCTACAATTCTTCGCATGGTTTGCGTGTGCTCAGTAAGGGACAGGAGGTGGCAGTCAATGTAGTACAGAGGAGAGGTGCAGGCAGGGACACAGAGGCCTCCTGAGGCTGAGCCCTCAGTCGAACCACAATCACTTGGATAAAGCCTGATCTAATCTTTAGAAACGTGTTAACAGCCTCAAATTAATATGCTTCCAATTAACCCGGCGATAAAACTGTCGACTAGAATAGACATCCACTCGGCCGCGCAGATATCCTGACAGCACGGAGTGGGGGATTTTCAACACCCAGCTCTGTGAGGAGCCAGCACCTGCAAACGCTCAGCGCTGCCGAGACTTTGCATACCAATAGCTGCTGCCAGGCTGGCCCTAGAGAGGCTGCACGCACGCAAACACCGGCCTGCTTCACGTCTTGCAACCTGAAGTTTCTTACTTAAAAAAGAAAAGTCATTCCAAATAAGATCCAGGTCCTCAGTTTTAGGGAAACTGATCCCTGTAAAACATTTCCCCTACTCCGGTTGCAGGAGTGATGGGCGTCTGTGTAAATAAAATGGTGCAAAAAGCTCCAGTAAAATAGCTGCACACAAAAAAGAAAGGCATGGGCCAGGCCCCAAAGTCCCAAGCCCAGAGGCTCGCTACAGGTAACACGAAAACTTGAGCTCCCAGCCACAAGCATTTCGTTTGAGATTCTTTTCCTATGCCCATATATGACTGTCTGTCCCTTCTGAATTCCTTGCTGTGTCTACACCCTTTTCTTTGCCAGGGCACATCTGTTAAAGTCTTCATTTTGGCTTTTGAAGTGGGCATTTTGTATCCAGCTGAACTTTAAAAAAAGATCCTGAGCAAAGGCTTTTAACAAGTCAATATATTTATATTATTTTTATGAATAGGCCCCTGTTTTCACATGTTCCACTTGCAATGGCCTCTTGTCCACCACTGCTGGCATGTCAAATCCTCTAAGGGCAGAATGCACTTTCTGGAGGAATACATTTCTGCTTGTTGCACACAAGAGGGATTCTCAAGGAACATTTTAATTAAAAATATTTTTTTATATATTTTTTTCCAGGAGGTAAACACCACTACTGTGCTGGAGACTTTAGTAGCGCAAGCCACCCAAAGGAGCATGCTGGAACCGAGCCCCCACGCTGCAGGAAGATCTCCAACCAGCTTCAAACTGCACAGCTCAGCCACCATCTGCCTGCTGCAGCCTTCGTGCTGAACCTGGGCAGGGCTTTAGGCTGCTGGTGACATATGCACGAACACCAGAGGACAAATGCCTTGGATCTCAGCCCTGCCTCACCAAAGTCAAGTGGGAGTTCACTTATTCCAATTACCATAGAGTTTAGCCAGTGGTTTTTATGTGGTGGCTCCTCTACATTAAAACCAGCAGTTAAAGGCTACTTACTTTTTCATTTTTGAGGTTTACTTAATTAAGAAGTGCCATTGCCTTTTTATTTTATTTTTATTTTTTTTAATTCTTTTGACCTGAAATGCAGTTGAGGCCCCACAGGAGACCATCATTACCAACTGAATCAAGAATCCTCTTTCAGGGAGCAGTAGCAAGGAATGGCGTAGAATTATTTGCCCATGAATAATATGTTAATATTTATACATAGCTTACTTAGATAAGAAAAACAACTTGCAGATTTACAGGAGAAGCTTTGTATAGCCATGCTTTGTGGAACAACATCTCAAGCTCCATGTAGAATCCCAAGTGTTAATTTTACCTCCTGACAGCTTAACGTGTAACCAGAGAAAGTGCATTCTTCAGGATCAAATAAATAAAAATGAGACCACTGCATCTGCCTGCTCTTGTCTTCTGCTGGGATCTCACTAGGCTTTAGAGAGCACAGACACATTAGTGTGGTGGTCCTCAGACACAGCTGAGCTGGAACAAGCCTGCAAGCTGTGCATATAAAAAAACCTTTGGGTTTAGTTTTCTTTGGTCTTCTGGTTGCTCCCTATTGCAAAAAAATGCAGCTTTGCCTTTTCATAACATTTTCATAAAGCTCAAGCCCTGCTTTGGTTATATGAATCACACAGAAGGAGAAGAGAATCACGCTCCTGCTCTGTGTGTGTGAGGAGGGATGTTTACTCCTTGTTTATTTGTTCTGGGAGAAATAAAGTGCTTTGTGTGAGGGCCCTTTGCTGGTGAGGCTGAAATGCTCTCAGGGCTCTGCTAAAGCATTGCCAAGTCTGTCAGGAGCAGGGAAAGCAATCTGGGCAGACTGCCCTAAATTAAAGCTAAACCAAATCAGTTTAAGCATACAGCATAATACTTCATATGGATGCTAAAGGCAGAATTACCAGCTCAAGCATTCAAAACTCCCAAGTCAAGACCCCACCATATCATGAAGTAGGCTTAAAATTGCAGCAATTAAATTTAAATAATAACGCTGTCTCCTTTTTCCTGCTTTCCATTTTCATCCATCTCAAAGGGTTCATGTTTCTTACCTTTTCTCATCCCCATGAGAGACAAAACAAAAGGAGGGTTGATCTTCTGATGCAATTATATGTTTCCAGAAGCTACGGGCAATAAGTAGCATCACCTGTGTGAGGCCTGCAATAAACTCAGGAGAGGTGGGAACACTGCAGAGGAAGCCAGAGCCATAGAACAAATGCAATTAATTAGAAGTTTACCTGAGATACTAAACAAATTAAAGAAACCTCAAATGCTACTTTATCATAACACTACACTATCTATTCTTTCTTTTTGGATGAGCTTACCAGCAAAAGTTGGATCTGTATCAAGATTTCAAAGCCCAAAGCTGCCTATATAAGGCTGCTTGTTGGTTTTGATACAAGGTTTTAGGATATATTTTTTTTTAAATGAAGATGCCACATCACCATATATATGGCTTTTTATAATGTATCAGAGAGCAATTTTTTCAATATTGACAGCCTTTTTCCCCCAGTAGGAGCTGGGAGCAGAACTGAAAATCACATGCTTCAGCACTCAGAGAGTTCCTGTGAAGATAATGGAAGTTAATGAAAGTTAACACAGCCTTGACAGAGATTTTTAAAGGCGTATGATTTTGATGAACTTATTATATTTTTTGCCTTTAGAAATCTCTTCCATAGCTTAACTCAAACACCTCATCATGAGAATTCTGTCCTCTCCTTACCTGTCAACACTTATGCCTCTTAAAGATACACTCGTGTCCCTTACAGCTATACCTCTTTT